CAACGTTCTAATAAAAAATACAATGATCGATGATGAGAGTTTTAATTAATAGTGCCACATTGCAGCCAAAATGATCTTTCTAAAACACGAATTAGAAAATCAGATCATCTCTCTCTCCTGTGATTTACTATCTCGTAGAGCTTCCCAATGGCCTTGGGATAGAGTGCAATCTCCCCATCTCCTTGATGGGCTGACAAGAGCTTGACTCCCTCTTTGGAATCGTGTCTCTTTACTGACTTCACTTGCTACTTTGCAGTCTTTGTAAAAAATAAATAAATAAATAAATAAATAAATAAATAAATAAATAAATATTTAACTCCTCCAACACCTCTAGGCCTTGCACAAGCTGTTCCTCCTTTTAGTAATACCTTCCCTGCATTCGCACCATCACTACCACTCTTTGCCTGTGTCAAGGCGAGGACTTATCTGTGTGCGGGATTTTACTGTGAAGTGTTCTCAGGAACAATACCTGTGAAGAGAGGGATGCAGGATTGGGCAGAAGGAAAAACTGAACTACAATACAAGTTCAACTGAGGCCTCCACTGATCCCAGGAGGAGCTCTGGAACTGAGATGGCCCTTCAGAGATGTCCACATTAAGGCAAGAAGGTTGAACTTTTACCCCAGTTGCCCCTGGAGATAGAGAAAATCTTGAGCAAGGAGGCTTCCTTCAGCAAAGGGCAATTTCTAGGGCAGGACTATGCTAAGAACCATCGGAGGACAACACTGTTGCCAGCAGGGGAACGAGTGTCCCAGTTCCTAAGGAGGTCCCTAGACGGCACACCACGACATCCGATGCAGTCTGGCTAACTCCCATCAGTCACCTTTTTGGTCTCAAATATCTCTTCCTCCAGTAAGCCTCTCCTGACTCCCTAAGCCTAGGAGAGATGCTCCTACAAAGCACCTGTTGCTTCCCCATTATCTCATGCTTCACATTTCATTATAATCATTTGTTTAGGGGAGCCTGGGTGGTTCAGTCAGTTAAGTGTCTGCTTTCGTCTCAGGACATGATCCCAGGGTCCTGGGATCGAGTCCTGCATTGGGCTCCCTGCATGCTTCTCCCTCTGCCTCTGCCGCTCCCCCTGCTTGTGCTCTCTCTTGCTCTCTCTCTCTGACAAATAAATAAAATCTTTGAAACAAAATCATTTGTTTATTTGTCTGTATTCCCCCAGGAAAGTATAAACCACATTAAAAAAAAGACATGGTGTTTATATTATTAGCATTCTATCTACTAATATATAACTTACCACAAACAAATTAAAAAATGAATGACAAACTAAAGATTCCATTTTGGGTTTTTAAAAAATGTTACACAAATATCAAAAACGTCTGAAAGACCATCTACCAAAATATTGTCCATTGTGGCAGGATGAGGTGTGATTTTTTTATTTCCTTCATTATGCCTATATCTAAATTTTTATAAGCACATTTGACTTTTTAAATTTTTTTAAAAGTTATAATCATTTTGAAGAAAAAAAGACATGATTCTTACTATAATAATAACTTATATCAATAGACTCATCCCATAAAGTTACTATTTTTACTATAATTTATATAGTAATTTATAAATTTATATAAATTTATAGTAATTTATAAATTTATATAAATTTATAATTTATATAATTTATAAAAACTTGATAAAGCAAGTTTATATAAATGATTTTGTTTAATCTTGACAAAAAGTCAACAAGAGAAAAAAGCCAAGTATGAAATTCTGATTCCTACTGGATTGCAAAATAAAGCCAACCCTCTCAATCAGGAATGAGAGAATGTGCCCTCACAGCCTGGGAACCCAGCTGTCTAACATTTCTTCTTCAACATGTTCATTTTTGATGAGGTCTTGCCAGGCTTTGGGGAAAACAGTGATATGGGAAGACCATATATAAGCCATCCCTCCCTATCTTCCCTGAGTCTCACTGGCTACATTCTCTGTCCTCACTTTTCTCTCCCTCCAAGTCCTATTCATAAAAGAGAATATTATGCCGCTCCCATGGCCTTATTTTCATCATTTGTTTGCATAAGCCTAATCTACAAGGCCAGCTAGAGTTGAAAGCCCTGTTTTTCCCTTACATCTCATGTCCCCCCTTCTCTCCTATAATGATAACACCCCACATATGTATGGCACTTTCCAGAAGGCTTCTGCTTATATCACCTCGCTGGATCCTCCCAACAAACCTTTGAGGTCTGCACATCAGATACTATTACCCCATTTTAGAGATAAGGAAACCAAAACACAGAGAGGTTACGTGACTTGCCAAAAATCACAGTTAGTTACTGATAAAGACAGGACTAGAATCTGGGTCCTTACAGAAAAGCCCAGAACCCTCTACATTTTTGCTTTGATCTCCTAGTCTAGCATATGACCCCTTGATAGGGCCCTGAAGAATCTAAAGCTGGTTACAAACTAAACTGATGAGAGCAAGATTATGGGTTCAATTTCTGAGCAGGCCAGTTGTGATCCTTGCATTGGAATGGGCTAATGCATGGAGCTGACCTGCAAATGAAAGACCTCAGTTACAAAAGGGACTAATTGAGAGTGTGTAGATGATTCCATCGCCATAGCAAGTTAAACACCTTAATTACCTATTCTTTTAAGTCCACATAAATATGTAAAACAACTATTTCTGTAAATGGACTATGCAAATCTCTGCTATAACTCACTTTCTGTTGTCAGTTTTCTTGGGATAGTCCCAATTTCTACCTATTGCCATAGTGCAATTAATGGCTCTCCCTTTCTCTTTAAAAAAAAAAAAAAGATGTCCCAGTAAGGAGGATAATTTATATGGTCATCCCATATACATTTTACAGAGAACAAATGTGCAACTTCAGTAGACACCAAACAGTATTGATTTTCAAAGTGGCAAGTCCCAAACGTTGTAAGAAGGGGTTGCTGTTATAGAAATACACTGCTGGAAACCTTCCCAGTGTTAAATGGCCTTCGCTAAAGACACAGTAAGACACACATCCCTTTGTGTTCTTCTGGGCTCAAGTTTTAAAATGTAGTGAAATTCTGGCTAGCTTCAATCCATTTGCTAAATGATTCTGGTTTTTCTGCACCTCATTCCCTCACCTGATACTATATCTTTGTCTCATTGCTTATCAGAAGTGTCCCTTTCCACATTCATTTTTAAAATGAGAAGAAACAAATGAGAATTCACATTTTTTGGCTTAAAATTATAATGCCTCCTACATTTCCCAAAGGAATCCTGCCAAGGGAATGGCCTAGAACAATAGCTATTTGCCAAAAGGTAAGAGGTAAGATTTTCACGGTAAGTCCAACTCAAGCCTTTGAGCTTGTCTTTTTCTCCCCATCTGAAATACAGGGAGAATACCTGCCCCTGAGTTGCTGAAAAATCGGAGGAGATGCCATGTGAGTCACACAATTGATGAACAATTGTATTTTGCTCTCCTTTGAAGTCCCAGTATTGCCTCAACATACAGACCTGGTCCTCAGTCTCAAGAAGCTTACAATCTCATTTCAAAGGACAGATACAAGATAGTACATAATTATTTTTTTTTTTTAGATTTATTTATTTGACAGAGAGAGAGTGAGAGCAGGAACACAAGCAGGGGGAGTGGGAGAGGGAGAAACAGACTCCCCGCTGAGCATGGAGCCTGATGCGGGGCTCCATCCCAGGACCCTCGGATCATGACCTGAGCCGAAGGCAGATGCTTAATGACTGAGCCACCCAGGCACCCAAGATAGTACGTAATTAAATGCTAAGAATGTACATTCAAAAAGCAGTATGTGTCAGCCTAAGGAGAAAGTGGTATGGATTGGAGTAGTGAGACAAGTCAGTGTTAATACTTTTCCTTAAGGGACATCTTACAGGTACCTTGAGAAAATGATCTGAAGGGTATATAGCCACTTTCTTGAGATCTCCATGAATTCTTAATCAACATTCAGCTGAACTTTTCTGAATTTTGGATCTGGTTCCTAAATGACTCTGCCAGGTACTTCATAAAAGTTTTTCTCTTTGTTTTCATTTTTTTTCTTTACTTTTTTTTTTATTATGTTATGTTAATCACCATACATTACATCATTAGTTTTTGATGTAGTGCTCCATGATTCATTGTTTGCATATAACACCCAGTGCTCCATGCAGAACGTGCCCTCTTTAATACCCATCACCAGGCTAACCCATCCTCCCACCCCCCTCCCCTCTAGAACCCTCAGTTTGTTTCTCAGAGTCCATAGTCTCTCATGGTTTGTCTCCCCCTCCGATTCCCCCCCCTTCATTCTTCCCCTCCTGCTATCTTCTTCTTCTTCTTCTTCTTTTTTTTTTTTTTTAACATATAATGTATTATTTGTTTCAGAGGTACAGGTCTGTGATTCAACAGTCTTACACAATTTAGATTAATCCAATTCAGTCATCTGAGCAAGCAAAGATGGCAAAATGCAATTTCTGTTGAGAGAGATTCTTTGAGCCCTTTTTACCAAGATCTGTCTACCCCCAATCATTGTAACAAGCATAATCAGACAGCAGTTCTTTCTGCAGTATACATATATAAAGATTATGCCTAAAAGACATGAGCAAAGACATCCCAACCCACATCCCAATAAAAAGCAGACAGGAAGAGACAGAGTAACCTCAGATTCTTTGAAGCAAGAATTTAGCTATTCTATATCTCCTTTAGAATCATTAATCATTCAGCATTACTGAGCACCTACTAGGTTCTCAAGCCAGGCACTAGGATGATCTCTGTGCTGTAGGAATACCTGAACTGTGAAAGAGCCCATAGCAGACACTGAGCCAGGCTCTTTATCTTAAGTTATCTTCCCGGTTAGCCCCATTTTAGAGATGAGGAAGCAATGCTCAGAGAAAATACTATGCCCCAGGTTGCAAAGTGGTAAAGTAGGATTCAACCAGAGTTTTGGGGTTTCAAAGCTTCTGCTTTTTTTACCATCCCATGTTTCCTTTGTTTTCATTTTAATTGAGAGCTCTGTTAGTTGGCACTGCTGAAGAGAGGGATCTGATATCTGGATGTTTTTTTCCACCAGATCCTCCCAGAAGAAGATGTCCTAACTTCAGTGCAACAAAAACCTGAGTGATAACATCAGATTTTGCCAGAATGGAGTTACATCCTGGCTGTCATACAGAAACCCAGGCTTCCGACAGTGAGCACACTATTATGTCACATTCTTTCAACAGCTCCAGGAGAACAGAGGAAAACAATGGTGTGGGTAATTTAAAATAATAGAGGATTAAAAAAAAAAATCTTTGTGTCTCTCTTGAATTAATTATATAATTATTTGAGTTCCTAGCCCCAGTTTTCAAATGTTAAATTACAATTATTCTGTAGTTATTGGAACAATGTTAGCTGAGTGTTAGAGCAAGCCAGCCAAGAAAACACTGGGTAGCTGAGAAAGAATTCAGGGCCCAGCTTCCATGATGCCAAAATGCTGGTGGCATCAGACAGGTCGCTCACTTGTCTGGCCCTCGGCTTCCTCGAGAAGAAAATAAAGGAGTTGGGCTAGAAGATTGACTGATTGATTCAGTAAATATTCATTAGTAACACACAGTCTTGGCCCTTGGGTGGTTTCCAGTCTAGTGGAAGAGATAGATAAGAGGACAAACTACTTTAATACAGTGTGATAACTGTTATAAAAAGGTAAATAGAGAATGAAATAGGAGCGCATAATTCACTTGCAGGTTACAGGACAGGGGTACACTGCAGAGAGTGGTGTCTAAAGCAGAGGCAGAAAAAACCCAAAGGCAAAGTGTGCATATGCAAAGGGGGAGCAGGAGCAGTGACCCAGGCATATCGAACAGTGAGAGCAAAGGCCTGCCAGGGGCCACCATGGTCCCTTAGGAAACTACAACTTGCTTACCATGTCCGGTTTGTGCAAAGGCAGCTGGGAGTGGGCATACAGGAGATGCACAGGGAGGCAGGGGCCCATCAGCAGCAGCCTCGTATGTCACCAAAAAGAGTTTCAACTTGATTCATGTCTTCAGAAACTATTTATCGATCTCACTATGAGGCAGGCATTTTTTCCTAGGTTCTGGGGTTACCAGAATAGTAACAAAAGAAACAGGTTCCTGTTTTTATAGCGCAAAATAAGAATCCATTTCAGGGTTAAAGCAGGGAAATGACATGATCAGAGTTTTAGAAAGACCACACTGGCTGCCAAGTAGGAATGGCTCGGAGAAGGATAAGCCTCTTTCAGCTATAAAATTCTGACTCCATGATTTAAAACTCAGGATATAATAAATCCTAAAAATCTCCACGTTAATATTTACATTATATATGAATATCTAATTATATTCTTTTCATATATATATATGAAATCTTATATAAATCTTTGGGTCACAGATTTCTTTGCAAGTGTTCAATAAATTGAGTGGGTTCTTTCCCCAGTTGTATGTTCAGACATGGGAACGTTTATTTGGTGGGGAAGGAGAAAGAGTGACACATATTGCCCACTGAGGACATACTAGAGACAACGGGGAGGAGTAGGTATTAATAATTCCCACTTTACAAATGAGGACTACTGAGTCTCAAATTTCATCACCTCTAAATGTCATTTGGTGAGAACAGGGTAAAGCCAAGATTCAAATCAGATTTTCTGCTTTGTTTGTTTGTTGTACATCAAAGCCCATACTGTTTTATGTCCCAAAGCATAATTATCACATCGTCACCATTCTCCCTGAGCTCTTGGAAGACTAGTCAAAAACTAACTCATGGGTTTCAGCTGGTTGGCTCAGTATAGTTATTTTTCATGTAAACACGTCCTATTTTCTTTTTTTTTTTTTAAAGATTTTATTTATTTATTTGACAGAGAGAGACACAGAGAGAGAGGGAACACAAGCAGGGGGAGTGGGAGAGGGAGAAATAGGCTTCCCGCGGAGCAGGGAGCCTGATGCGGGGCTCGATCTCAAGACCCTGGAATCATGACCTGAGCTGAAGGCAGACGCTTAACGGCTGAGCCACCCAGGCGCCCCTAAGCACGTCCTATTTTCAAATAAATTGCAAAACTCCTGATGTGCAGAGACCATGTGAATCTCAAAACTCTTCAGTGAGTTCATAGAAAACAGAACTCCAATCTAGTCTACCAAGTCTATCAAATATTGAAAGCGGGAGTTTGAGGTAAGGAGAAGGTAGCGCTTTCCTTGGAGTGGACATGCACAGGTAGGGAAGAGAGAACCAAGCCTTGAGAAATATTTAGTACTTCCTAGAAAGTTGTTTTCCAGTACAAGAAATACTGCTTTCAAGCACAAGAATTCCCTGAGCTTCCTGAAAATAAACCAAAAATAAATAATAAAAACCACCTCGGGCCTCAGAGCCCATTCCTGCTCTGCTCACTTAGCATTTCCTCTTCTCCTGGTACATCGGCTTCCATTCCCCTCCCCGTGGAATCCTGGCTCTCATTCAGCAAGGCTGGGGGGTAGGTTTATAAGGCCTCCAGGAGCCTGGTGGCCTCCACACACTTCCTGGTCCCCACCCACCACCCCCAGATCTTCCGGAGTGCCCTGCTTCCTGTCCTGGAGCTAAGCCCCTTACAAGACTCACAGGAGGTGGGACGCTTTCTTTTCAAGCCCCTGAAGTTCTCTGTTTCCTTGCAAGTAAGACACCCACTGTAATTTATAAGTTAGCTATAACCGTTGAGTACAGGAAAGACGGAGCATCTTTTTTGGTCATTTTGTTTGTTCTCGTTTAAAGCATAGTATTCAATCACGTCTGCTCACACCCAAGTGTAGCACTTGGCCGGTTATTTACCCAGAATTTCAAACCCCAGATTTTCTTTGGGCAATCCACATAGTACACACAGCCTTGTGCTTTCTTAAATTAGGCATGCTAATCCCATTCCCCTTGCTAGGAAGTGGTTTTTGCAGCAAGCATTAGCTGCAGCAATTCTAGCCAATGAGATGAGAGAAGTCAGCTGATAGGAGAGGAAGGTCTGAGAAAGACTACCTTGCTGGAAAAAAAAGGCAAAGAAAGAGAGAAGGAGGGAAGGAAGGAAGGAAGGGAGGGAGGAAGGAAGGAAGAAAGGAAGAGAGGGAGGGAGGAAGGAAGGAAGGGACGCAGGAAGGAAGGAAGGGAGGGACGCAGGAAGGAAGGAAGGGAGGGAGGAAGGAAGGGAGGGAGGAAGGAAGGAACGAAGGGAGGGAGGGAGGAAGGAAGGGGGAAAAGAAGAGGCACGTAGGGGGAAGCAGCCCCTTCTTCCTCTAGGTCTGGTAACTGTAAGCATCCTAACCATCTTGCAACCATGAAAGGAATACATCTGAGAACAGAGCTGACATGCTCAAGGTGGCAGAGCAAGAAGATGGAAAGAACCTGGATCTTTGCATTTACCAGCCCTAGAGTTCCTTGACTACCAGGCTGCTTCTTATGAGAAGTAAGAACTTTTTCTCATCGCTTAAGTCATTTTGAGCCAGAGTTTCTGTGTGTTTGAAGATGACCTCGTCCACTGCAGAACTGATGACTGGGACAACAAACTTATTAGTGTGAGATCAAGAAGGCAGCCATGGGAAGATTGAGCAAGAAAAAAGGCTTTTGTGTCAAGGCAGTAGCAATTCTGGGTCTGTCACTTAAATTTGTCTTCCAGTACAGCCACCTATTGGGTTTGGGGATCATGAATAAATATTGAAAGAACCATTCATTTTTTTTTAATTCCATAAACAAACAAACAAACAAAAATCCATAAGCAGCATCCTCCCTCCCTTCAGGACTCCATGTGACAGAATGTATCGTAGAGGCAGATTCCTCCCTAGTTTAAAACCAAACGTCTGACAGCATGGCAAGCTCTAGGGCTTCACTGTTTCCCTGCAGCGAGAGCCACTGGTGCTCAGCAGACATCCCCAAGAGATGGTGCTGAGAGTGGAGAGGAGCAGGGGTGTCCATGGAGCCTGCAGGGCCAGGAAGTCCCCCACCCCACCCCATAGCGACATGGTATCCTGCAGGTGCAGCACAGAACCTGTCAGAGGACCATGGTGACCAATGGCTCACAGAACTGCCTGGCAGGATGGGTGGGGTTTGCTTGTGAGCACTTGTGAGATCCTCTCTGGGGACTCCCAGAGAGACTTAGAAGAATATTGCTGGAAACTGGAAACCTAGGGCCTTGTACCAATAGGTGGGAGCACAGGCAAGGGAAGCTTGAGTGATTGCTGTTTCTGTCACTTCATCCATACCTACAGGTGGCAAAGAAGAAAGCAAGTGAGCAGAGAGAAAGCTTTGGTGGCCAATTAGGAAGGGAGCCAGCCTAATATTTTCACAGAAGTTCCAGCAAAATAATACATCTGAAGTTTAGAGAGAGTATGAAAGTGACCATTTTGAGTAGTTTTTCTTTGAGTCTATCCAAGCAGGATCAAGGAGAGAGAAAAGGTAATGTACTGAGAGGACAAGAATCTACTAACCAAATCAACCTTCAGATAATTCTGGTAACAGAAATCATTGCCTGAAACTTTACTTGACATTTTTAATCAGAGAAGCCAAAAAGAGAAGCACTCTTGAGATTCGGTCATAGAGGATTTTTTTAAAGATTTTATTTATTTGAGAGAGAGTGGGAGGGAGAGAGAGAGCACAAGCAGGGGGAGCAGCAGAAGGAGAGGGAGAAGCAAGCTCCCCACCAAGTAAGGAGCCCGATGCAGGGGCTCGATCCCAGGATCCTGAGATCATGACCAGAGCCGAAGGCAGAGGCGTAACCAACTGAGCCACCCAGGTGCCCCAGTCATAGGGATTTTAAGTTGCACATGTTTGGGACAAGTGACCTGGGACTATAACACTAGAAAAATTAAGGAATAAAGCCTCCCCAAAATTCACTTTGAATCTGTACTGAAACAATATCCTGTGTGTTGTGTTCCCAAATCTGCTTCCCTTACTGGCTGTAACCCACGTCATTGAAGGGTGTGTGTGTGGCTTTAAAGACCCAAGATCATGATAAACAACATACCACCTCTCACACTTGGCCTTGATGGACCTTCCCAAAAGAGAAACTGGGAGGTCAAAACCCATATTTGCCTAACCCTGGAACAGAGAGGGCTGGTTTCTACAATCAAGAATCCAGTGAACACAGCAAAGAGGAAGCAACATGATGCCATCAAGATGAGACTTCAAAATGGTCTGAGATTACAGAAAACTAGTGATACAATTAGCAAAACCTTCTACTTTAATCTTTTTACCTTTCTAAATCTACAAAACAAATCACACTTCAGGGAAAGGTTGAGGTAAATGGGAAACAGTATATTCATTTAGAAAATGT